AAAAAAAAGGCAGAAAAACAGCTGAAAAAGATTATAACTGAACTATCAGCTGTAAATAGGGGATTTAGAAAGCAGCCATATTTATAACAGACGTTTCAATGATGGCTTTGTGGTGTAAGAAGGAAGCGGAGAATAACAAACAGAAAGAAAAGCTGCCTTTGAAACGAAGTGCAACATATCAATATCACAAAAAAAAGAAAAGAAAAGGGTGCAAAAAAAAGTTCTTAAATTGTTTTGCAGTTGTTTTTTTCCCTTCTCTGCCGTCGTCGTCATCATCTTTTTCTTCTTTGAAAAAAAAAAAATAAATCAAAAAAAAAATTAATCCAAACAAATTCTATGACGTTTTAAAGTGATGCTATTGTCTGTTGTTCCGGTTGTGCTACCGATTGCTCTATCAATTGGTGGTATAAAAGACAGATTATTCATTTCCACTAGACTATATGTAAAAGCCAATTTTCTGTGTAGACAGCAACCTTTTTTTTTTTTTGCCTCTGTCTTTTTTTGCATGCAAGAAATCAAAATTTTAGTTTATGGAAGAAGGATTATATAAATAAAAAAAAATCCAATAAGACGAAATTTACGTGCCGTAAAATGAAAATTGATTTATCATTGAAACTAAAAAGTATAAGAAATTCCGCTGATATTTTAATAAGATAAAACAGAAGTTTAAAAATGACATTTACTGAAGGCGGAAAAGATAGCTGTTAAAGAGGAATTTCCAAAAAATGTTACAGTAAAAAAAGGGTTGTCTCCTGTCTCCGTTTTGCTGTTCTCAGGAACCCCCTTCCTTTTTTTTTTTTGCCTTGCATCTCCTCAGGAGACAGAAGACATCAGGTCTTGAGGCATTTCAAAATATGTGTAGAAAAAAATTGATTTACAGATACGCTATAGTCTCTTGTACATTAAATTTACCTCTCAACTAACAGCTTTTTGCGCCCAATTTGTTGCTTTTCGCTTGACTTTCTCAATTTAAAGAGTGCAAAACTAACGCTCTATATTTTTTTCTGAATCCTCTAAACATATTTTGACACAGAAATACTGCTCTTACAACTATTTCGCATTATATTCCATCTGTCTTATTCTACAAAATAATATCTTTGTTTAGCATAGTTTGGTTAAACTTCAACTCAGAAAAGGTTTGCTTAAAAACGAGCATAATTTGTTCTACATTTATCTAAGCTATCCTACTTTGCACCTGCAGTGCAAATCAGACTGTTTCGGTTATCCATTAATGCAGATTATGTAACTAATTCCCAGTGCCCTCTTTATGAGCTTTTCAAAGTTTTATCTGCACAGTTATCTCGCCTCCCAGTTTCCCCTTTCCCTTTTGCCTCATTTTGCTTTACTTCATCTTCATCGGAAGACTCTTTCTCACAAAAATTCCTTCTCTTTTTTAATTTTGGATTTTGATTCTAGCACTGACTCCGGAAATTAGAGACGACAATCGCACAATAGTTATTTTGTAGTCTGTAACGTTGTTAAAAGAGAAAACTGCAAAAAATTATTTTTTTATATATTGTTTTTTCTTCTCACCGCTGTAAAATTTATAATTTTATAGAATAAAGTTTAGAATTTCTCTTTTATTTTTAAAGATATATCAAAAAGAAGCAAAATACTATCGCAACAATTCATTACAAAACGAAAAAAGCAGTAAAAAAAAGAAGAACAAAAAAATTTGGTAAATATATAAATGCTAAAAGTTAAAAGAAAAAAATTCTTGTTTTGATTCATCCGTGCAACAGAATTGGTAAAGATATTGGGAGCAACGAATAAAAAACATAATAAAGCACTAATTAAGTTTATATGCGGTCTACATGTTTTGTAATAATTTATAAAATTTGGATTGTCAGAAGTAAAGGTTAATTTCAGATTGTTTGCAGATTCTTCCCCTCGTATATTGATCAATATCTGCTGACAAGGATTCGGTGTCATCTTTTCAACTCGTCTGTTCCAGATCTTTTTCTTCGATACTTCGTTTTAAAATTTTTGCAAGCTAACTTTTTGCTTTTAAGCGAAAGTGAAGAAAGAGGAAAGAGAAGATGAGTAAAACGATTTGATAGACATTTGTCAGCAAATAAACTAGGCGACATTGCTTCAATATGCTGCTGTATGCAGAAGAACGTTGTAGTTGATATTTAAAAAGATTTGAACCAACTTTTAGCTTACGCTTCTGGCTATCACTTGGAATAAATAGAGTTTATATTTAACAGCAAATAAGGTCACTTTCGTTTACAGTACTTATATACTATAATTAATTGAATAATGATAGTACAGTATATAATATTGAAATCACTGTACCACACCCTAATAAAAAGATCGCAGCAGTTTTTGTTTCTTTCGAGGCTATAAAAAACTTACTTCGTAGTAGACTTTTAGCAAAAACTACCTTTTAAAGTTTAAGGAGATCGTTTAATAGTCTATAAAATAACAATCCTTGGAAATAATGACTAATTGAAAGAATACGTTTGGCGGTTGGAAGTACCGGCGAATTAAGCAACGCAGAAACTGGTTAACAATACTTGTACGGAAATCTTACTGCTAAAGTAGATTATTTTGTTTCTATAAAAATTGCTTATATTTTGCACAAAAGATGCGCAGAACTTCACTTCCAGAAAATCAGATAATAAAATAAAGAGCTGCAGCTATGAACCTGTGGTTAGACTGCACTTGCCAAGGCGCTGGCGCACAAAAGAGATAATGACAGATGACTACCGACAGTGCACTGTCATGGCTTGTAACTTCCTCGACCAAAATGTTATACCGTTTTAAGTACCTCAACCACATTCTTGACAGGTATAAAACCCAATAATGATAATGATCTACATCATATAACCCTGTTCTTTTTTTCTGCTTTTACACACTTTTCACAGCAGTTACACTAGATTTTTTTAGCATTCTGTTTACATGTTTCTGCAGTGTTGACGTGATTTATGTAAGTATCAAAATTTGATAACTCAAATAAGAGTTGAAAGTCTGAAGCGGAAAAATAAAAGACACCTTTAGTTTTTTTTTATTTTTAGAAGTTTTAGTGTAAATTAATAAACTTTTTGAAGCGTATTTTGTGCAGAAAGATAACTGCTCAACAGTATTTTCAATAAAATACTGCTTTAAGAATTTTGTGTAACATTTAAAAGCTTTATGGTTTATTCTGTCAGAAATGACAGTTTCGTCACTTTTCTGACTAGTATTCAATGTTTCCTGTTAATGATCAAATTCTCTTGTCTTTCTATTTGTAACTCATTTATGGTCAAACTGCTTTTGCACCAAAAGCAAAAAGTTTTTTAGAAGAAAACAAAATATCAATTTGAAAAAAAAGTAGGCAACTTTCAGATGAGAAGATCGACAAAAAATTGATGTGGCAACTTCTTGACACTTCTAAAACAACGAAAAAATTTCACGTTTATATCAAATGTATCTTTAACGAAGGGTTCACACGGTTTTTATTCTGACTGCACATTTTGTTCTGAATAACTCTGTTGCATTCACGTTGACTACGTGCCTTTTATCGTTGACAAAACCTATGTAAGCCAACAGTGTTCCGAACCAAAGACATACAATGAAGTCTTAGTAAAAAACCGGTAAAAGACAGTTAATAGTCAGTGACAGTAAAACTTCATTCAACAGTATCCGTATTTCACTGCAGTTAACCAGTTTATTCTATACCGTAGATCGGTCACTGCACCATATTAGATGCTGTACCATTAATCAACATCATAAACAAATTGAACAATCAACTTTATTACAAATTCATTTTTAAGTCGAAAAAATTTTTGTTTTCAAAGGTCGCTTACTTCTTCGCTGAAACCCTAAGTAAAAAACCCAATCCAAAATTTTCAAAATTTCTTGCTGTGACTTCTAATTCGTATACCGTATTTAGTGCTTTAATATGAAGTGATAGTACATCTGAGACGATTGAAAAATATAACTTTATTTTTTAAGCACTCGTAATTAGTATCAACAGAGTTATTCAAATTAGCAGTTAAAGACAAACAGAGGTATTAATCTGACCAAATTGTCTACAAAAATAGATGGCTTTCAGCTAAAGACTTCAGAAATAAAACCTTACAATAGTAAAAAATTTCAGTTCAAATCAGTACATCTGATAGTTTTTGATTCTATTATTTGAAACTTTGGAAGTGCTGTTGAGAAGGAGGTAGTGAAAGACTAAAACTGTATCTCACTTGCAATTTAGAATGCTTATTTGTCAGGCAAACACAGATTTGCTTTGTTGGGTTATGCGGTTTGTTAAATGGCATCTCTCACCGCTAACCAAATAAACGCAAAAATGAAAATTTTTAAACAGCAATTACTGTTTTCTGCTTTTACGATATTCATTCGTTGTTTGGGTATGATTTCTCGTAAAATTTTTTCTGTACGACTGTCAAGCAAAAATTTTTTGGTTGTGATAGGAATACAGCAAATATTTCGATACGTGTAAACAGGTGCGTAACGCTACTTGTTAAGAAAGTTCACGCTACATAACAGAAACAACAATGAGACTTCCGATAAGAACTCACAAGCTTCAACAAACAACAGATATCCTATTTGCTTTCATGAAAATGCAAAGCCTGCTGCCCGATATGTATTGTAAATTTTTTCAATTGCATTAGCGTAAGCGGCTGTACGTAAGTCGAGACCAAGATTGTATTTTTTTGCCGTCTCGATGATTTGTTTTGCTAAAAAGAAAAATAGAAAAGAAAAGCATTGAAAACAAACGTTGTGATGACAGCAAAAACGCAGATAAACAAATAAAAAATTATGTGACAAAAAAACAAATACAGCAAATTTATTTTACCCGACGTTTGCATTGTATATTCCAGTCCTGAATTTACAATTTCTTCCTCCGACGCAGCTCCAATACGTCGTTTTAGTGTTGATGATGGTTCCACCTTTAAATTACCGCCCAACTGCTTGTTTAACGATTCTTCGACGCTTGCTGTAAACTTGTCAACATTTTAATTCACGTTTGGCGTACAACAAAGGTAACATGGAAAGAAGGAAAAAGAAGAAAAAAAATTAAATGCTGCATTACTCTTCCAGTTGACACTACTGACTGCTCGTATAATTGACTGTTCAGTGTCAACTTTAAATTGCTTAAAATACTACATACTTTTTTCAGCTGAATAACCAGCTTTTAGTTTAAAAAATAAAAAAGCTTCTTAGGCAACCAGATAACAAATGTAAATAATGAACTTTATGCAGCTTATGTCTTTCACAAAATAGTA